CATAGTCTAAAAGTCCAATGATTTTTGAAGCATTTTTTTTTTGATTGTATATGAATACAGACACTTATGAAGAGATACTCTGTCATAGTCCTGATCAGATTATTTTATCTTGAGATATTAAAAAGAATGAACTATGAAGATACTTTTACACTATTTTAGTGTTTATTCTGAACTTGTAAATTTTAAATTAAATAATGCTTTGAGATGCTTTAATAATGAGGATTTTCTGAATTTCAAAAATTTTAGAATTTTAGTTTATTAATTAAAAGTTTATTTTCTATAAAAAACTAGTCTGTGTTATTATTACTGTTATTGTTATTATAAATAGTCAAAATATAGAGATAATGCATTCAACTTTAATATTAATTTATTATTAATGAATAAAAAAGTTATACACAGTATTGAATGAGTAACTGGTATTTTATGCCATATAACAGATGGCGAACCTTTTTGAGTCTGCTTGCCACATAGTAAGCATATTAAGCATACTTTTCTTTAAAAATGTTTATGCGTGCAGAAGTTTTAGACTTTGAGTAACTATATTTAAATTTGGCTGAATGGCCATGCGGTCAGAGTGGTAGCTTATCGCTTTTGTGGACCCATGATCAAAACCCCAGAAAATTTTCAGGTGTTGATCTATTCTTCACCACCCAGCTGTCCCATTGTAGGCTTGCTAAATAAAAAAGCCCTCTTAGTACCCACAGGATAAAAAGAGTTTTAAAAAACTAAATTTAAATAAAAAAAAATAATATGCTGTAATTAGAGTAACTGTAAAGAACCTGATTGAAAAAGATGATATACTGAAATTGTATAATATGTCACATGCCGGATGATTTCTTCAATGTGCCACTTTGGGTACGTGTGCCATAGGTTTGCCAATTCTGCCATATAAAATACATTCCCATTTCAATAAAGGATATTTAGGAAAAAGTATTTAATGTATTTAAGCCAACTTGCACCTTTGGTACTTGGTCTCAGTTATTTTTTTATTATATTCCAGTTTAAAAAACTAAAATTACAATGTGCGCTTTTATATATCGGAGAAAAATATTTTAAAAGATATTTACTATTGAGGGGTTCATGAAAAAGTGGTACAAATGACAAACAGTATTATTTGAATATATTAGTGATGAAATGTAACATTGGTTAAACAGACTGATACTCAGTTTGGAAATTTTAATGTGATGATGATAATTGGATCTGATGATAAGACAAAATAGTCAAAAAAAAAAGAACATTTTATCAAATAGTTAATTGACTCCTGAAAAGTTATTAGCATTGTGTCTTATGGATGATAAAAATATGAAGCTACTTGACAACAGAGTTCTAAACATGAATTTCTTTTTCTTTCATTTATTTAATTTCTGATTATGGTTTTTGACTGATTAGTCTTAGAACTTTTGCAGCAATTGTCACATACAGCAGAAATTCTCTATGGGAATATTGATTCAAATCATTTGCAATGTTACATGAACTCTTCCCCAGACTTCAAGATGATCTAGGTTTGTTATTCTTGCATTAAACATTTTGAGCTGAATTCAAGAAGACAGCTATCTAGATGGCACTTACAAAGATACATGGGTAGGCTGAAAAGTAATGCACACATGCTTGTAGAACACGAACAAAAACAAATAGCAAGATTGGGCAAAAAGTACATTAAAGTACAATTTTTAAGCTTCAAAATCATATATATATTTTTCAACGTAGTCACTGTTAAGGCTAACACATTTCTCCCAATGCGTAAGAAGTTTTTTCATTCCGTCACTGAAAAATTCTTCTGACTTTTCTCCAATCAAGGACTTGACAGCTGCCTTCGCCTCATCGTTTGAGGTGTAATGATCACCCTTGAGGTCTCTCTTGAATAGAGAAAAAAATAAAAATCACAAGGCATAAGGAGAGTGTGGAACTTCAGGTTTCACAGAGCCTCTCCAGTTGCACGTGAGGTATGTGGACGAGCGTTGTCATGTTGCAAGATTATTGGCACCAGGCTGCCTCTAACATGACAAACTCAACGCTGGAGGTGTTTTAGAGTCTGTATGTACTGAGAAGAATTAAACATTGCAACGAGGGGCAATGGTAATCGTCTGTGGCAGTGATCGGACATCCGCTGCATGTTTCATCAATAATTAAGGCTTTTCCAAGCTCGCAACCACGAAATTTTATTATCCATCGATTTACAGTAGACCTATCAACAGCATTGTCACCATAAACAGCCTTTAAACAACAATGAATCTCAGTAGGAGTCACTTTCTCAGCAGTTAAAAATTCGATAACAGCACACTGTTTAACTTGCGTTGACATAGCACTAGAACACGTCTCCATATTTCCGCTTCTCAAAATATACTGAATGAATGCAACAACCTCAAACCTCACATACACATAGAGGGGGGAATGTTACTTCCTTATGCCACGCTTCTGAAAATCATTTTATTCATGCTCTACAAGCATGTGTGCATTACTTTTCAGTTTACCCTCGTAGTTGTCCGTATATATAACATGGTTTCTATCATGCCTATCCAACTCAATTTGATTTTGGGTGTTAAGTGACTTGACTTGCCCTGTAGATTGCTGGTAAGTTTAATAATGAAAAAGTTTGATGAAATAATGTATATTGTATACAAAATCATTTTAAGCTTGTTAAAAATAATTAGTTTTCATTATCATAAAATTTGAACATAAAAAAGAAAAAAATAAAGTTAGTCTATATTGTTCAAAAATTAAAATATGTATTCTGTAGTATTTGAATATACTACTTTATTGAAGCAAACATTATTTTAGGTTATATTTATATATGTTACTGTGAAAGACCGAAATTAGAGAATGTTGATATTCTCCAGTGAATGTCGACACATACAAAATATGTTGGTGAACGACCGAATATTTGGTTATATTATTGTATGTTCGAACAATCGCTGGTGTATGTCAACAAGCACAGATAAGCTTTGGTGGAGGTTGAAACGACACCTGAGAAGCTGATGTCGACAGAGAGGCAACAGTCTGTCGCCAAATTCTTTGCCGTTTCCTTCTGTTCAAATTGGTAATACCGTACAAATACAAGTCCCTGATATCGACCGTGGCCATGCAGATGCCTGAAATGTGTTGGCGGTTGTTGTTGGAATAGAAGACTCCGACTTTTATAAATTAACAAACAAAAATGGTACCGTCAAGCAGCTTTATACTCGTAATGAATTTGTAATTTGTAAAGAAAAGTTACTTTCCATAGATGAGATTTCTTCTAAAGAAATATCACTGAGAGAAGCAGCTGCAGCTAATTCGAAAAGTGGAGGGCGAGGCTATACATGCTGTCATTGCAAAAAGAAATGTTCCACAAATAAATGCAGTTGTAAAAGCAAGGGACTCTTGTC